ATCAAGGCCGTCTGACTTAGTGCCCATGGATCTAATCCTATGGATATATTTGCGGAAGAATAAAGGTTCCTTATTCTTCCGTATAATCTAGACAAGAATTAGAAATACTTAGCAGTTATGAGAGGGTATCTTTCACCCCCAATGAGTTAATGAATTCCGCGAGAAATGTTCAAAAACTGTCCCGTCTGTCCATAACAGAAGACGGTCGATATGTCGGACACCTGTAGCAAAATCTCATGTCTTGGTTTGCTATTTATTTTTATTGTTATTAAGCGGCCCATACATTATTAAACAAATTGCGCAACGAAGCGATGCGCAACGTTGCGTTGCACAACTGATTCAGCGGTCCATACACTATCAAACAAGTTGCGCAACAAAGCGATGCGCAACGTTCCGTTGCACAACTACCTCACCCATGCACTTAGTAAAATTATGATCAAACTTTTTATTAAAAGTTGTGTATTATTTGAGAAACAATCATGTCCTCAATTGCCATTGCGTCAATTATTATCGTATATACCCTAGATGATGTCGATGATACCAAAAAATGAAAAAGAAAACAAAGAATTTGGATGAAAGAACTAAAATATTGCACAACGAAGCGCAACACACACATACACTACACAATGCGTTGCGCAAACAGTCCTGTTGCACAAAAGAATTCAAATATTCTTGAAACTCATCAAACAATTGCGCAACGCATCAAACACTATCATACATTGGCAACTCGTTGCAACAGCCTGCGTTGCGCAATTTGTTTGATAATATATGGGCCGCTTTAGATATAGTTTAAATGTGTTGATGTTGGTTAAATATATTTTAAATTGTTATAAAATTCTGCATCTCTCATAGCAAATATTATTTTCGTTTTAATTGATTCTCACAGCTAGAATTTTTTTGCATTACAGCCGGTGTCGTTCAAAGCCTACTTATTTAAAGCGGGCGAATTTTTATATACTCTATATCTCGAAGAGGAATCGAGCAAAATATCAAGTGTGTTATATTTTTGGAAAGGTAATTTTAAATTATTTTCAATAAATTAAAAATATACAGGGTGTCCCATATAAAAAATCAAATTTTCTGTTGATAATTTTTAAAATATTAATTTAAAAAAATTATACTTAAACTATTAAATTCTACGTAAAAGTTGCTTTGGAAATGTTTTCATAAAAATACAAAATTTTCCATAGTCAAAAAGTTATAGCGATTTGTTAAAAATGCATATTTTTGAAAACACCCCGTAACTCCGAAACGGTAACAGATATCGATATGCGTTTTTCACCATCATGTTTTTGACAAAAATTGAGCTCCAGACACCGATATTAGTTTTTGTCTATCTCCTATAGAAAAGGGTGTTTCCATTTAAAAGCGTCGAATTTGACCCACCCTGTACAGGGTGTTAATAATTTTTTTTATTATAGCACGCATATTTAAATATCTTTAAATATCTCAAAAACCAAAGCAAATAATAAATGCCTTATTTTATGTCCTAGAATCCAAAAATGAAATAAAATACCGGGTGTTCCATAAGAAAAATATAACTCTGGTATGAATCTTAGTTCTGACACACCCTGTACATTTCAAAATAATTTTAAATTATGCACATTGCCTTCCCCACATATACGAGACGAATGAGGTGCGCCACCCTGTATTATTCTTCTAATCTAATTCATTTTTAACGAATAAATTAACGATTTCGTTAAATGCTGCGCACCCTGTATAATAGGATATTTCGTTTCGATATCAAAGTTGATAACGCGTGTTCTCCGTATACACATCTCGAATAAATTAACGCTGCCACTTGAAGTTCAGCCATAAAATAATGAGGTCAGGGACTCGAAAAATACTCATTTTTTACGATTTTTTCGCGGTAAAACAAAGGAGATTGCGAAATATATAGTCTCTGCTCGGGAATAGATCTAAATTTGTTTGAATTTCGGCGAATATCGTGAAAAAAACCCAAAAAACCGCAAACGTTTGTTCGAATTTGAGTAATACACATTTTGGACGATAATTACTATAATTAGTGAAATTATAATTATTATGAATACTTAGTTATGACTAGAGCAGTTTTCTGTGAGAGATTAGGGTAGGGATGGGGATATGATATCGATAATTTTATGTTCGATAGTTTGATACTCATTATTTTCTGTCGAAGAAAAATATTGACATGTTAAAAATGTTTAAGGGGATTAACACGTTGATAAAAATGTAAACATAACAAAAACTTCAAGAATTTAATTTGTAAACAAACAACAGTAGTGTTGTTATTGAATTTTAAAAGTTAAAAGGTGACGTACCTACCTATATGATATTTAATTCTTTAGTTATGTTATTATGAATTATTGACATAGAAACAAATAAATCTTATATTCCTAAAAACTTTATGGATACAGCTATACCATAATATACTGTTGCGGGCCGGTGTGGACTCGACCTAACTCGACCTAACCTCACAATCCGAGGGCCCGCCCTCGGATGACCTTAACATCGCATAGACACCGCAATGATTCATTCGTTCGAGAAGAATCGAGTTCCACTGGAATGGACTAGTACATACGAGAACATTCGAAAACCTTCTCTACGCACCTAACGATCTATGGACTATTCTAGAGTTCTTTACCTGTCGGTATAAAAGCCGGCGGCGGTGGCCTACAGGGGGCAGTTATAAATATACCAGTGCAGTTGACGCGCTAAAATTCAAAGTGCTAGTGACCGAATGAAGGAACACTACGACATTCAAGCTGAGCATGGAGGATACCAACCAGGGAAGTTGGTGTGGCTATATAACCCGCAGAGACGTCGTGGGTTATCTCCGAAGCTACAATCCTCGTGGGAAGGGCCATATGAAGTCATGGATAGGATTAATGACGTCGTATACCGTATCAGAAAATTGCCAAAAGGAAAACCGAGGGTAGTCCATTTCAACCGTTTGAGCCCATACCAAGGCGAAATAGAAGATCGTGCTGGGACCGTGAGAACCTGCAGCTTTGATCCCCCTGATTCGGAGATGTCCTTTGACGATTTCATGGCCCGATACAACAGCAGTGAGAAGGCTCGCTATGGTGTAACCAAAGAAGATCAACGAGACCTCTTTTCCGTGCCTCCTGATTATTCGCTCGCTCATTGTGTGGCTCGAGATTTGCGGATGTCCAGAGGAATCGCTGCGACGTTCAATGAGAAGTTTGGGCGTGTCGGAGAACTACGCCGACAGGATCCAGAGGTTGGAAGCGTCTTGAGGCTAACCGACAATGCACATGGTCAAGCAAGGCACATCTTCTACCTGGTCACCAAGGAATGGTCCCCGAGTAAGCCGACTTATCTCAATCTATGGAAGACCCTGATTGAACTGAGGGAAGCCCTGCTAAACAACAACATTGCACGATTAGCCATTCCGAAGCTGGCGTGTGGACTCGATGGTTTGAGTTGGCGTACAATCCGGAACATGATTGAAGTCTTGTTCAGATTTACGGGAATCGAGATTCTCGTTTGCTGCTACAACCCAAAGCTGAGATCGGGAGCGAAAACTGTAGACTGCTATTTCTACCAGACTTCGCAATGTACCAGGGGCCAGCTTTGCAAATACCTTCATTCAATACCACATACATCTCGGGACGAGCATGTGTCTAAGAAGGGGGCAGTGTTGCGGGCCGGTGTGGACTCGACCTAACCTCACAATATGGCCCGCCCTCGGATGACCTTAACATCGCATAGACACCGCAATGATTCATTCGTTCGAGAAGAATCGAGTTCCACTGGAATGGACTAGTACATACGAGAACATTCGAAAACCTTGTCTACGCACCTAACGATCTATGGACAATTCTAGAGTTCTTTACCTGTCGGTATAAAAGCCGGCGGCGGTGGCCTACAGGGGGCAGTTATAAATATACCAGTGCAGTTGACGCGCTAAAATTCAAAATAAATTCTTAGTTATAAATCGTTTGTAAATAGTTCTATAAGTCTTTTATCGTTATTGTTTTTGTTAATTAGTGTTAAATAAATTGTGACTTTCTATCCACACGGAACCGACGAAAAACGTAACAATACTATAAAAAATTGTTGTTAAATGCTCGAGAATTTATTTTTGGAGAATGTTTCCCGATAACAAACAAACAAAAATGCGTCGAAAATTTTGAATTAGATCAAAGAAAACAGGTTGAAAAAAAACACTCAGTTACTTTTTCGGTTTTTTTTTCTGAATTATCTGCGGTTTTTATTATTGTTCTGGAGAGAATTGTGAATTTTGTGGCATTATCGATATTTTAATATTTATAGAGAACTATCGATATTTTTGTATATGTATCTAAATATCGATACATTAATAACTATAGTATTTTGATTGATCGAGTATTTTGGCGAGGTAAGAAGTAGAGATGTGCCAAAGTTGAATCTCTCATTCTTAGAAATAGGTACCCATAACTTTATATCGCTCGAAATGGTTAAACGTCAGCACTTTTTTAAGTTCATTGCCAAGTATGATTTCCATTTAAAAAATTATATTTTTTATTATTTCTGACAAAAAGAGCAAGCATAGAAAAAAACTCACTACGCCACTGGATTGTGCTTAAAAAAGTGCCTTAAGAACGTTTTTACCCGAATTTTATTATTCCGCGAATTAAAAAAGTTATGGACAATTTTCAAAATGGTAAAAAAATCAAAAAGACCCCGTATCTCAGTTGGCAGTGAAAACATCAACAGGCGGTTTATGCTATGAATGGTTTTTGCTGCCGAATTACTAGAATACAATATTTCAAGGCAGATGACGCATCTATTCGATAATTTTTATTCGAATAGTTTTCAACGAATGTTTTTTTACTAGCTATCGAATTATTCGAATGAATTGCAACTATCGAATGGTTCGATAGTATTCATTCGATAGTTCCCACTACTAATCTACATATATATTATTTACAAGTAGTAGGGATGTACGAAACTATCGATATTTTTATGTAGCCATTATCAAGTCACGATCGGTTTTCATTGTTTCTTTTCTCCAGGCCGCTGCACCAAATCCACCGCCGCCAAGGACTTCGTCGGCTTCCTCTCGCCCACGAAGCACGCCTCCGCAGCCTCCGGCACCTCCCTACTATGTGACCGCCTCCAGCAGCAGTCTTCCGCGTCCGCGTTGCTGAACCAGCCGTACGACGCGGCGCAGCGACACCGCGCAGACGTAGACCGGCGCGCCGCCAGCAGCGATGACCTCGGATGCGCCGACTGCTGCCTGAGGGCGGCGGGAGGGGCGGCTGCGCGCGGGGGAGGGGGCGGAAAGGGGATCCGCCGCGGGGCCGCCGAAGCGATGGCGGCCTCCTTCTCCACCAACATCACCAATTCGCTCAAGGGGCTGGTCAGTAAGAAGAGGAACAGGTACAAGCAGGACGGGTTCAACCTCGATTTGACCTGTATCCTTTTTTTTCTAGAATAGTAGGAATGGTTGTTTGTAAATTTCAAATCTTTGTTTCAAAATTGTACTAGTTTTTTCAAAAAGATAAAAGATATCCCGTATTATGTGGATCTGTCACCACTCTATACTGGAGGTGGGAATTCTAGTTCTTTGGGAGGAACTAGTTTCTTAGTTCTAGTTCCTCCAGAGGAATAGTTCCTTGAACTAGGTCTTTAGTTCACAATAGTTCCCGATTAACATTGACATCTCCGTTGCTTGCATTGTATGATGAATAGTTCTGACTGAATTACTGAGGAAATAGTGCTTTGAGAAACCAGGAATAAGTTCCTTTCATTCCGGGGTCGGAATAGTTCTTTGGAACTAGTTCGTTCACGAACTATACAGGGTTGTTCACCACATACGACACGGAGTATTGTAGCTAAACGATTAGATTTTTACAAATTGTAAGTTTTGGGCTCATTGAAGGACTATTAGAGCTACAATTTAAAAATATTTTTACAAGATACAGAGTGTTCCAAATAAATAAAAAATATCAAAGTGTATTTTTTTAAATGGAACACCCTGTATATTATTACATTTTTAGTTTCTACGATTAAAATAAAGGTAAATTTGATTAAGGCTTATTATACTTAAAGCTTGCCGTTTTTGAAATATTTTCAATTTTGTGAAATTGCAGTCAAAATTTTAAGGCTTCATTTCTCCAAGGGTATCAAAGTTTTTAATATTAAATATTTACTGAAGTTTATTTATTGATCTGTTATTGTGTTGCAATAATAAAAATTATACTACCTTATACAGAGTGTCTAAAATTTTATTTTAAATAATTACTAGCTTTAAACGGCAATAACTTGTTTAATTTAAATGGAATGCCCTGTATATTTTATGAGAATCAGATGCATAATTTAATTGTCTATCAAATTGAATTATACCACTTTTTACCTATCCCTTCAAGTTTCACATTAATTAAATATACCACCATTATTTCCGCCCAAATACAAATTAATTACATACTTAATTATGTTCGTGAATAAATCATTCTAAATAAATGTGGATTTGAATCAGAAATGAATATAATAATAAGTTATAAAAATGAATGTCTCTGTTGTTACAAATAAGCATTTGTCAAAAATGAAATATCATTTTTAAGATGTTACCACACTGTCTAATACACATAAGAAGTTCAGTTTTTTAGTTTTTGGCGCAATTATTATTAATCAACGCAAACATTAAATTAATGTAGTTTGAATACTGGAATCATATTAATTGGTCCTCTTTAACAAATAAACAAACTATATCGACAATATTAGTATCTGTACTCTTTAAAAATTTGGTACATCTTTAAAAATAATCTAAAATGTCAGTATTCCATGGGTATATTGAAAAATGAATTTAAAATTACAAGAAAATGCTTTTTCTACGGAAACTTGAAGCTATAGGTAAAAAATGGTATAATACAATTTGATAGACAATTAAATTGTGCAACTGATTTTCATAAAATATACAGGGTGTTCCATTTAAATTAAACAAGTTAGTAGAGTATAGACACTCTGTATAAGGTAGTATAATTTTTATTATTGCAACACAATAACTGATCAATAAATAAACTTCAGTAAATATTTAGTATTAAAAACTTTGATACCCTTGGAGAAATGAAGCCTTAAAATTTTGACTGCAATTTCACAAAATTGAAAATATTTCAAAAACGGTAAGGTTTAAGTGTAATAAACCTTTATCAAATTTACCTTTATTTTAATCGTAGAAACTAAAAATGCAATAATATACAGGGTGTTCCATTTAAAAAAATACAACTTTGATATTTTTTATTTATTTGGGCACAAAATATTTTTAAATTGTAGCTCTATTAGTCCTTCTACGAACCCAAAACTTACAATTTGTAAAAATCTAATCATTTAGCTACAATATCTCGTGTCGTATGTGGTGAACAACCCTGTACACCTCTATTTTATATAGTCTGTCCAACGACAAAATTCTTTGACAGTGATAGATGTGTCTGTCATTTTAATTTCATTTTACAAAGAAATAAGTTGGTACAACTGGAACGCATAGCGGGAAATTAATATATTTAAAATTTGGCTGATAAGTGATTAAAACGGTATAAAACTGAAAAAATGCAATCCAGTTATTTTATTTAAAAAAAAACGGTATGTGTTTATACAAAACAAACAAGAACAAAACAACAACAACAAACAAGCTTTAAGAAACTTCGCACATTTATTATTATATTTATCAATATAACTTATGTACAAATACAAACTTTTAATATTCCCCAGGAATAAATAAAACAACATAAATAAAACAAACTATTTTATTAATAATAACACTTACCAAATTTTATACCTTAAAGGTTGATTAATTAACTTTAATCTTAATTTTTTTAAACCAGTACCTTTTGACATTATTTTTCTACGCATTGTACATACGGAAATCTCGACCCAACACTAACCTTTTCCGGCCCTTACTATGTATAATTAAAATTCACAACAAAAAAGGTTTAATATAACAATATATTTCCTTAACGATTACTCAGACATAACCGATAATATAATCGCGATGGGTTATCCCGCCTGCAACCTGGAGAGCGTCTACAGGAACAACATTGAGGATGTGGTCAAGTTTCTGGACCAGAAACATCCGGATCACTACATGATCTACAACCTGTGCAAGGAAAGGAGCTACGACAAATCGAAATTCCACAACAGGGTGAAAGAGTTTCCGTTCGAGGACCACAATCCGCCCAAAATCGAATCGATAGAACCGTTCTGCGAGGTAAGAAGTAGGGTTGTTTGAAATTATCGATATTTTTTTTATATTTTTACGCCTACCGATATTTTTGGCAGGATGTAATTGTAATTTTTGATCTATTGAGCATTTTTGTGAAGTGAGAAGTAGAGATGTGTACAACTATCGCTATATAAAATTATCGATAGTTTTGCACATCACTAGTTTTTCAACTATCGATAATTTTAGGTGCTGAAGACATAAAAACCTTGATACTTTTATAAATAACGTTTTTGATTTATTGAACATTTTTTGCGATGTATTGAGCAGAGAACTACGACTACTATCAACAAACTATCGATAGTTTTATATGTATCGATATTTCTTGTAGATGTACAAAATATCGACAGTATATTTTATACATCATGATTGTTACATATACATATTTTATGTAACAATCAATCTTTACCAATAGAACTTTCCGTGAGGTGGTAGATGTGATTAACTATCGATTTTTATATATTTAAAAACTATCGATATTTTTGGTAGGATTAAAAAATATCGATATTTTCATGACTATCATTTTTGATCTATTGAATATTTTTGCGAACAACAGACATAAAAACCTTGATAATTTTATAAATAACGTTTTTGATTTATTGAACATTTTTTGCGATGTATTGAGCAGAGAACTACGACTACTATCAACAAACTATCGATAGTTTTATATGTATCGATATTTCTTGTAGATGTACAAAATATCGACAGTATATTTTATACATCATGATTGTTATATATACATATTTTATGTAACAATCAATCTTTACCAATAGAACTTTCCGTGAGGTGGTAGATGTGATTAACTATCGATTTTTATATATTTAAAAACTATCGATATTTTTGTGTAGGATTAAAAAATATCGATATTTTCATGACTATCATTTTTGATCTATTGAATATTTTTGCGAGGCAAAAAGTAGAAGAGGGCCAAATTATTGATATTTTTATATGTTGAAAACTGTCGATATTTTTTGTAGATGTAAAAATATCGATACGTTTGTAATTATCTGCGAACTAAAAAAGTAAGATTTTTATATACCTACTGATAATTTCGCACTTTGTGAAATTATCGATTTCGATATATCGATGACGCACGAATGACTTTTGGCGCGATAAGAACTAGAGATGTGCGGAACTATCGATATTTTTTTTATATATTTAAAAAATACATAAAAAAATTATGTTAAAAAAATATCGATACGTAACCGTTATTTTTCATTGATTGCACGCTTTTGTGAGGTAAGAATTAGGGATGTGCGTAACTATCGATATTTTTGTAGATTAAGATAATATCGAAACGAGTAAAAGTTATGTAATTTAAGAAGAAATGGAACGATAAAAAAAAACGGTGTCAGAGTTGGCTTTGATATGAAAATTTCCGTTGCTTTATTTTTAAAGTTATGTGGGGAATGTCTTTTTACTCGTCGTTTCCACGTCATCTTGACGCCGTTTTTTTCGATTATACGGTATATTATACTGAGATTAGTTGTTACCAGAGAGAACACTAATAACTAAAGTGAGAGGGCTTGTGGAATAGGGCATTTCGTAGACAAGTTTATTTTGTCACCGCGCATCCCAGACGCGCATAGCGTTTAGGCGGTCAAAAAGGGAACTTTTCACCTTTGCAAGTTAAAAATAATATCCACAGTTAGCATTTATGGCAATAACATTAAATTGGAAACGTATTAGTTAAGAGGAAACCACATAAAACAAACAAAAAAAACATATTCGGAGTCTCTTTCGAGGGGCTGTAAAACGAACTTTGCGCAAAACCTACATTTTCAGTTAATTTGTGTCCAATAACTGCTTTTTTTCTACAATTTTTTAAATAGTAGGCGTTGCATTCAAGTGACACAGTATTATAACAATTGAATCGGACGACCTTAGCTTGCTGTCAATTATTGTGAAATTGTCATAATGTGTTTTACGTAGATTCCCTTGTAGATTGCGGTAAATTTAATGTCAAGGTAAGTAAAAAAGGATCTTTTATTTTGATTTTTTGGATAAAAACTAGGTAAAGGTCAAAGTAGAACATAATCATTTAAGGTTTTTTTGATAGTGGCATATATTCTATCTTAGAAAAGTTAAGTCAAAAAATCGCAAAAAAATCGCTACTTTAAACTTATTGGAAGCGTATGTCTCCATGCCAAGTATGTGTATAGTAAGATCCTTTATGTCGATACTTCTCATAAATTAATTGTTATAGTAGCTAGAGAAGAACTTGAAATATAAAGTTACTTAATTTTTTCTCAAGATTTCCGAAGAGGTATGTCATAAATGTCAAATGACATTTTTTGACAAATTGACAAATTTTGACAGTACCTAATTTTTAAATTAAATGAAATGGATTTTTTCTTTCAGATTTAAAAATGTGCACTTCGTGACCATTGCTTCCAGCTGTTGTAAAACAAAATATCAGTAAATAGTAGGTGGTAAAATAAAATTTAGATATTTTTAATAGGTACCACCCCCAGCCAATCTCAAATCAGCCAAAACTAACTGGGTTCACGGGCTACTGGCGTAGAATGTTTTTTACCAAATTTGAATGAAATCGTACCATAAAAGAATTTTTGCAACATACTTCTGGATTTTTGCCCACTGTGCGCAGTAGGGAACGCAACGTTTACCGGCAGCCAGACGGGCCGCATGCTGTTCTAGAGAGCAGAGTAAAAGATATATCAAAGAGTCTCTCTCACTTTAGTTATTAGTGTTCTCTCTGGTTGTTATTAAACGTGTGACTACGTGTATTATACTGTTTTGTTCAATTTGAAATACGTGTCATATTTATATACACTGTTTGTTATACAGGATGTGAAAGAATGGTTGGAAAAAGATTCACAAAATGTAGCAGTGGTTCATTGTAAAGCAGGTAAAGGAAGGACTGGTACGATGATATGCTGTTATTTATTGCACAGCAGGATATGCTGCACAGCAGACCAAGCATTATGCTTTTATGGTAAGTTCAATAAAAAGACTATATTAAGACTAATGTTAGTGTTGGGGTTAAGATTGGAAGCATGCCATTAATGTTTTTTCCTTTGTTTAAAGGATTATAGTCTGTCAAAACGACAAGATCCTTGACAGTGATAGATGTGTCTGTCATTTTAATTTCAAAGTAGTTTATTTTATTTTACAAAGAAATAAGTTGGTACAAATGGAACGCATAGCAGGAAATTAAAATATTTAAAATCTAACTGGTAAGTGATTACTTCAAAATATTGTGAAAAACAAAACTGTATAAAACTGAAAAAATGTAATTGAGTTATTTTATAAAAAAAACGGTTTGTGTACCTATTCTCTGGTTTGTGTTAAGATAAAACAAACAAGAACAAAACACCACATACAAAAAAAATATAAAAAAAAACTATTTCTTACTTTCAAGCTTTAAGAAACTTCGCATATTTATTATTATATTTATCAATATAACTTATGTACAAAAACAAATTTATAATATTCAACAGGAATAAATAAAACAACATAAATAAAACAGACTATTTTATTAATAAAAACACTTACCAAATTTTATGCCTTAAAGGTTGATTAATTAACTTTAATCTTAATTTTTTTAAACCAGTACCTTTTGACATTATTTTGATGTGTGATGACGATATTTTACAGCTACTCCAGGCAAGATTTAATATATATATATATATATATATATATATATATATATATATATATATATATATATATATATATTATAGATATATAGATATATAGATATATATATATATATATATATATATATATATATATATATATATATATATATATATATATATATATATATATATTATAGTATATAGATTATATAGATATATATAGATTATATATATATATATATATATATATATATATATATATATATATATATATATATATATATATATATATATATATAATATATATATATATAGCAAGATTAAATAATCACCATTTCTAAAAGCAGGATTTGCAACCGTGGCCAAAAACAAAAAGTGAGGTTAAAACGCAGAGAGGCGCCTTGACATATAACAAGGATCTTGACAGCGCGCGCCTCCACAGAACAGTGAAACGATAGCAGGGTTGGCGACTAGGGAACGTAAAAATTACGCCAGGCTTGCCAAATAAATTATCAGGCCTGAACGCTACGGAATCCGGTGATGATACGCCAGACATCATATAAATCATATATAAAAAATACATGTAACGAACTAAAAACGTTACAATGCATCATCTTCCAAAACGCAGATATTTGACATAAGTTGACACAAAATTATAACCTATAATTTGGCAAGACTTTGACAAGCCTCAAAAATCTAAAGGCGAGATCATACGCATCGGCGTCCGTTTGTCGTTCATCGTTCCGTCAAATCAATAAATTGAAATATGATCTGTCATTTTTGAAATAAACCAATGAAACTGGTTAAAAACGACGCATGACGGATTTATATTTAGGCGCATCCATAGTTAACTTAACCCAAGTAGCATCTATCTGACTTCGAACTAAATCTGACCTGAAGCGACGTCAGACTTTGTGCAAATTTAGGTCGGGTGCTGGTGATACTACTGGTGACGTCGCTTTCCTATTAAAAGTGACGTCGTTGGATCCGAGTCGGTAAATCCAACGATCTGTCGACGTACAAAATAACATCGTACCATTTTTATTAATTTCCCAACGTCGTTCCAACGTTGGCTTGCACGACGTACCTATACTTGAACTAGCCCGACGTCTACCCGTTGTCCGAATAGGATACGTCTCACTGATAATCCCTAAAGTAACGTCCAATTATATTTTGTTGTATTTTATGTTCATATTTTTAACCTAATTTACGTATCTCTATTTACGTCCGTAAATACAACCCATTAAGTAGCATTTGCGGCCTAATAAACATCATGAACATAACCTAATAAAAAGTTTTTGTAAACAAACTTAATTTTTTTTATTATGCCTAAAAAAAACACTAAAAAGGCATTTAGACATTCATCTACATTTTACAGAAAGAGGTCGAGGCTTTTGCAAAATAATAATAGTAGTAGTGATGTCTTGCCTCCACCCACGAATGCTTTTTTATCCGGAAGAGATGCTGCATTACACTGGTGCATCTTAATTTCATTTTTTAGCTTAGGAAACCAGCAGACCCCATCCTCCTCCCACATGTGAGGTACTGGTTCCAATTCTTTTAAATTTTGTATATACTATCTTAAAAAGTGGCTGCAAATTGTTTTAAAGAGAAAAACAAAAACTAAAATATAGTTGCACAAATCCACAAATCACTGATACGCAAAGTGAGGTTACGTGGCGTACGTTGGAATTATATACGTCATAATACGATTGCCGGTCGTCCGGTTTGATGACTTCGGTCGTGTGAGACGACTAATGTTGGAGACCCGATCGGAATTGGTATATTGGTAGTTCACATTAAGTCGGACACAGAAATCCGCCATTCTTAACAGGTATCCGATTGTCAGCCATTTTAAAATCGTTTTTGTTTTTTAAAATTTATATTCACATTCCAATTTCTAGTAGAATAATATTGATAAGGTTGAGTTTGGGGGAACCACAGTACAATTTTATGATTAAACCAGCTAGAAATTAAAAAAAATATTTTGCGAGTTACTTTTTTATAGATATTTTTATTTCATAAATCTACCTACTTTTGAAGGCGCTCGTTGTTTTCCGGAGTATTTTAATCAGATATATAAAAAAGTGACTTCCGTTGACAAAACTGATGTCTGGATTAATGATTCAGAATTATTATAATATGAAATTAGATAGGCACTTATAGTTCTCTTCGAGGAGTGATTATGAATCCATTTGTAATTAGGTAGTTTGGTTAGGTTTTTATGTATTCTTGGTAGCGAATATGAAACCAAACGTAACGTAAGTGCTTAGCGACGAATTTTAAGTAATTAAAATTCAACGTAATATGACGTTGGTAATTGGTAGAATTACATTCCCTATTAGGTGAGATACCGACGTCGAGGCGACCCGAATCTGTATTCCCCATTTAGATGCAAATAAGGGTCGTCAGGCGGTCGAACCCACGTTGGTACCCGACGTCGGGTTTATTGAACGCGACGTATACCCGACGTTAGATAACGTCCAAATGCTACTTGGGAAAATATATTAGAAACTTTTTTTAGTAAAATAAATAAATTGGTATGGTACGTCATCTGCTTTTCTTCTGTCATCGTCTGTCGAAATCTTACCTGAGAAAAAAAAACTGTGTCTATACATTTTTTTCTCTATGCAGGTGAGAAACGAACGCAAGATACTAAGGGTGTGACCATACCCAGTCAAGTGCGGTACGTCAAGTACTACGAACAGTTATTAACTCACCGGACACAGTACGCTCCGGTGACGGTTTACGTCAAAGAGTTTGTGTTCGAGCCCGTGCCAACATTTGCAGGTGGCCCGGGTAATCTGTTCTTCACCATCGCCAAAACCTTCTCTTCCGAAGGTGAAAAAAGGTTTAAAAGTGATGTGTACAAGGTAAGATATTTTGTAAATTATATTTTAGTATCATCTTCATTAAATTTCTTGTACAGGGTCTCCCAGGCTGAGCGTGCATTAGAACTTTCTAGAGAACCACAATATCTAGATAGGAGATTTTTTGCACATCATTGTTTCACAACGAGATCTATCGATTAAAACTATTTTCAATATGGTGGCACTTCCGGAAACACCGGAAGTTGACAGCAACTTTCTTATTTTAAATGGGTACCCCCATTTTTATAATGGGGGTTATTAATACTTCATTTCAAAAGTTATTTTCCAAAATAATTAATATTTTTTAATAATTGATTGCAACTAATATTATTTGACTAGTTTAATTTGATTAATTAATAAGACTAGATTAATTTCATTTAAAATAAATTTGATCAGATTTTTTTCGTATATTCAACTACCAGAAAAGTAGAAGGAAGATTATAATGTATCTATCACAATATTTAAAAGAACTACTACAATAATTATTAGAAGAAAAACAAAAAAAAATACCCAAATACATTCACCTTCTACTCAACTACAAAATAAATGAATATAATCTCTTACAAGAACACTACACAAACTACTTCTTGTATTCTACACTAAACAAATTATCAAACTTATTAATTAATCAAACATAAAGAAAAATTAACCAAATTACCCTTCACCTACTACTTAACTTCAAAATAAAATATAAAAACAACCAAACCAAATTTCTTCTGGTAGTCTACACTAAACATTATAATCAAACTTAATAAATTAATCTAATTTTACATTACAACTACAAAGAAACAAGAAAATATTTTAAAACTACAAGAAATAAAACTTCGATACGTGCGACCAGTATAATAGATCAAGCGGACAAAGAATATAAAATACTTTAAAATGTGCATTCAGAAAGAAAAAATATCTCGAAAATTATCTAAACAAACATTTTTTTTCTTATCAGTGAAAACATCGACCTCGTCGGCCTTGCGGGAATTTGTCCGGTATTTACAATGGTCGAATTGTATAATTACCAGCTTTTATAGCATATATCTAATAGACAAAAAGTATCTGGTCGATTAGTAACCAATTGGCACAGTCCGAAAATTATCGATTTTTATTTTCTCTGTTTTTATTGGCCGCTTCAAAATTCAGAGTAACAAAAAATATTTTTCTCTAGTAAAAGACTGTGAAATACGCCCCGCCATCTGGTGCTTTACATCCATAAACGTCTTAGGTTGAGCTACTTTAAAAATTCATATACAAGGCTAGAAGCTTCTAATGCACGCTCAGCCTGGGACACCCTGTATATCTGTAGTGGTGGTCTTTCAAATTCTAGCCAATTATTAGTATTTCTAATGAAATCAGTACAGTTTCGTATATTTTTCATTTTATTCATTTTATGGAAAACACTGTTCATTAAAATGTTGTATCCTATGTTATAGGGCTTGTTTCTCTCCACAATTTCCTGTCTTACAATGTACTGTTTGTGTCCGGGAAGGGATCATAGTTTCATAGTTGTCAATTTTCAAAAGAAATCAGTACATTTTTGCTTGACTAATACATCTAGAAATGGTAATCTATCGTTGTTCTCAATTTCATAGGTAAATTTAATGGAAGGAAAACGATTATTTAATTTATAGAAATAAAGTTGTAATATTCCCTTTGCTGAAATCTTTCAACTAATGCTACCGGTCATTATAAAGGTGCCAGTGGACGCCAGGTCGTTCTGCATCAAGCTGGACCGGTGTTTTCGCCTGACGGGCGACGTCAAAGTGGAGTTCTTCAACAAGGTGATGATGCGCAAAGAGAAGCTGTTCCACTTCTGGTTCAACACGTTCTTCCTCGGCTATCCCGAAGTGTACGGCGGCGACTCGTACGAGCTGACCTTCGAAAAGAACCAGCTGGACAAGCTGAACAAGGACAAGCAGCACAAGATTTTCAACGAGAAATTTAAGGTGGGTGCTAGTAGGATTATACTTCAATAAAGGGGCCTATATTTGATTGTTTTAATGTATTTTTCTATTAGTTTTTATTTCTTCTTTGTATATTTTTCAATTTATGTATACACATATATTTTTTATCTTTGATTTATATATAAACGTATTTTATACGGACGCTATTTTGTATACTAAGGGCTGGCAAAGGTTAGTCTTGGGTCGAGATTTCCGTATGTAAAAAGAGTACAATGCGTTTATAATGTACTGAACAAAGAGAGGACAGTAAACACGTTGCCAAACTTATAAATAAACCGAGAAACCGTGCACATCGCTAAGAGACGTGGAAGGGGATATAGTAGATTTGTCGCAGTTGACCGGTCGACCTAATCAATACCTCTGTCAGTACTTAAAGTTCTAGGGAAAGGTGTACGTCATGCGTTCAGCTTCACGATTTAATTACGTCTCGTGATATTTAATTTGTTTATTTATTAACGAGTCGTTGTAATTTTCCCTATAGCTTGAATTTTTTTAAGTGCAAGCTAGAAACACGTGCATTTTTGGTAAAAATAAGTGGAATTGAGTGGGTGTTCGATAGTGGTCGCGCTATTAGAACTCTGAATTCAAAAATCGATATCTCGAAATCTATTAGAAATAGTAGATTGTAGTTTTTTCATGAACTTTGTTAATATTTCTGCTGCATTTTCTTTGTAGACAGTATGTGAAAATCTTTATCAATAAAAAAATTACACGATTGCTGAGAATTGCTATGCTCTAAAAGTAAATGGATGGATTGTTTACAATTTTTGAATGGAAAAAACAACCTTATCGAATTTTTCTTATGTAAACGTATTGTAAAATATCATATATATCAAATTAAGTTCTTGAGTTATGGCCTGTTATGTGTTAAAAAATTATCGCGATTACCGACGGTTTCTCGTTATAAAAAAATGACACCCTAACGATATTCTTATAATTCCATTTCAGATGCTCAGAAACATGTCTAATGATTTTATCTAGTTATATCTTGAAAAAGTCTTTTAAAAATAAGCGGTTTGCGATCGTGATTTTACTTTACTCGATAGGGAAAGGCACCGTCGCATGTCTTTCACTCCGACTTAATAAGATCCCTATACGATTTACTTCCACACCTATACGATTTACTTCCACACATGTAAATGCCGACCCAAAAGTAACAGTTGCCAGCACGGTATAAAACTTTAATCATTTAAAATATATTATTCTATTATTTATGTAAATACTATATACAGGATCGGCTAAAGGGGGTCTTGTTATCTTTTATGTATACAGCGTCCGGCAATAGTGCGTCGGGCATCTGTGTAGCTCCTAGAATAAAAAACTAGGGAATTTAATTTAAGTGCAAACCTAAAGTGAATGTACTAGGATGTATTTCGGGAAAATATTTTAACTTTTATAGGGTGACTCGAAAAAGTGTGAGTGGATGGGAATTATTTTATTTTAAACGGAACACCCTGTATATTATTGCATTTTTGGTTTCCTTTCAGATCACTTTAAATAATCCTAAGATATGAGTAAATACAGGGTGGCGCATCTCATTCGCCTCGGTTGATTATACGAAAACGGAAAGATGTAGAAACAAAATATTATATGGGTATATGTGGGGAGTTATTATTTTGAAATATACAGGGTGTCTCAGAACTAAGATCAATACCAAAATTATATTTTTTATATTTTTTCTTATGGAACGCCCGTTATTTTATTTCATTTTTGGATTTTTGGGCCCAAAAAAAGTCATTTATTATAAGGGTTAAATATATTTAAAATCATTGGTTTTCGAGATATTTAAAGATATTTAAATATGCATCTTACAAGAGAATTGATTATAAATACCCTGTACATTACTTTTTAGAATTAATTCTTGTGCTGAGTTTAAAGGCAAAGAAATAAACTTTACTGAAATATGTTATTGCTTCCTTAAATTTATACAGGGGTACCAAAAATTAGTTATTTATTTTAAGGATTTATTTTACATATAAACTGTGTTATTTCAAATGCAATACCCTGTATTTTTTTAAATAAATCGAAGCAGATTCAAATGCTCTTTCAAACTATATTAGGGTTTCCTATACCTATCTATCACAGATTTTGAATAAAAAGCGATTTTTAAATAAAATGGCAATCAAGATGGCTGCTATCGCCATGGCAATTTTCTAGTGATAGTTAGTAACTATTTTTAAAATCGACATTAGTTTATAGACTTTATTTAAATCTATACCAGTTTACTTTTATTTAATTGACGTACAATAGTTTAATAAATAATATTTATTAATATGTATTTATTATTCTATCAAGAAAAAGGAAGAAGTAGTTCTTTGTTTTATTTTACGATAACTTGTAGATATATGAATTTTTTATAAAAGAGCCAATTACGGCAAATTCAATTTCTTCACCTACGACAGGTTTCTGCCTAATAGGTTTTTATAAACTACACTAGTAATTCTGCGAAATAGGAAATAGGACAAGTAGTTTTTCAAAGGAACGCTTATCAGGAAGATTCCTATTTGGATATCTTTCAGCATTAGCTCTTGAGGCTAAGAAATAATTTTTCTCACAAAACAAAATCACTAGTGACATATCCATTTGTTCCACCAGCAGATATGGCTTTATTTTTCTTCATAAAATAAAGAATACTTACTTATTAAACTATTGTGGGTAAATTTTAGTAAACTATTTAAATAATAATGTCCATACACTAATGTCGATTTTGAAATAATGTTTTGTCCGTAAACTTCACAGATCTCACGATGAATATCGATCGGTTTTACGCCTTTAGCACTAAGAAATCGTATGACAGCCCGTACTTCACAATCGGCGGGGCTCACGATTGTCGGAGGCATCTTAAACACTCAATAAACAACGTATACAATGAAGAATCAAACTGTACTGGCGTTTGTGCATAGACTAGAGATGTAGGTAAGCAGCGCGCATGCGCGGAACGCCGACCGTAGCGCTGCGGCGGCGGAATCGCAAAAACGGTACTTACTTAAAAAACATGCCTCGTATCAATTACTAATGTATTACTTTCAATTATTATTGTTCTTAAATGTGTTAAATATTTTTTGTTGAAATAAGACAAAGTAAAATCTGTTGAATACAATTTGTTGCTCTACCATTCTCATCAATTTTTATAATCATTATTATTTACCATTTTTAAACTGATTAAAAGTACACCAAAATTTTGTCAAATATTACTTTTAGTGTAAGAATAGTGTGTTAGTAAACATAGCCGAAAATCACAACCTAATATTTTTTTTATTCAAACATGAATAAAAATGAACTTTGTTGCTCTACTTTTGTCCGATAGTGTATATGGACGCAACAAGGTACTATATAGTATAAAAACTATACAGTATAAGAACTGCCTTTATCATAAATATATTTTTGTGTATCAAATTGTGTAAAATCTGCCTAGCTTCAGAAACGACAATTTGGAGGTAACTTTGTATATACGGATGCAACAAAGTACTATCAATGCTATATATTTCTCATATATTTCATTCATATACAGCGGGCGATTGTTTTCCTGACACTTTAAAACCCTTTTCAAGTAAATCATATTCTTCTTTTGATTTGTTTACAGTTGACGATGGTGGTTAAGAAAGTACCCAAGGTAGAAAACGCCGCGTTCCTGCCTCGCCTCGGCCAGACGCGAGTCATAAGCAACAGCACGCCGAGCGACAGTTCGGCAGAGTCGACGGACGAATCGGAGGAGGACGACTGGGATTCCGGTGAGCATAACCTCCTTGTTAGACACCAGTGACACACCTTGTTTTAGTTCTCCTTTTTTTGATTTAACACGTACCTTATTTTTTACACTATTACACTTGGATTTTTCTCGATCCTAAGTTTGTTAGTGGAGTATGAACGGCTAGCAAACTTCAGCGACAAATTTTTAATTTTGCTAGTAAATTAAAAACCGCTGCGATTCTTTAGTAAACTTCAATCACAGGAAAAATATTCTATTTAATGATATGATTTAACATTAACTTTTTTTTATTATTACAAGTAATAAGTTTGTTTTTATAATAGATGGTACAACTATTACTAATTTTCTCTGTATTATATGAGATAATTTCATCAATTAATATAAGTTATATTAATTAATACTTAAAAACGGCGTGGGGAGTGTGGGGACTGACGTCTGGGTTTTCGACGCCGTTTTTTTATCGTATGGTATATGATCTGCAAAGAGCAATATTAGGCAGGCACTATACTGTTTCTAAGAAAACTTGATTATTTTTTGAACTTTATAAGTTTCAGATGTCATGGTAACAAATTTCTTAAAAAGGAACTATAATTTGAGGCATTTTTTTAATGATTCTGCTGAAGTGATAAGCAAGTTATGTATACACGGAGGTGCCGTACTATCGAAAAAAAAAACGGCGTTAGCGATGGCTATGAAATGACCATCTTCTTTACGTCAAGCGCTTTAAACAGGATCGTGATTAATCAATGACCAGATTTTTTGAAACACCCTGTATACATCTTTAAAAAATCTTAAAATATGTAAAAAAAAAATAAAATATACGTGTTGGTGAAGGTTTTAAAGTCACCTTTTCTGCAAATCAAGCTAAGTAGATAGGCGCAAATTTGAGATGTGGCAATGTCGCGTTCTCTATTTCAGTTGGTTTTTACAGTACGTAGTCAACCTCCGATTGTTTGATCGGGTTAAAATGCACAATGTGATATCTGTTCTTCCTAAATCTATGGTTGAGCGGTTTGAGCAGGATCGTCAGTCACTTAAGAATTTTATATGGGGAATGTCATCGATCGTCATTTTTCAGCCAACTGGACGCCGTTTTTTTTCGATCATCCGGTACTTTTGTATATACGGATGCAATAAAGTATTACCAAAGCTGTAAATTTTCTTATAGGATTTCAAAAAATTTACTTTTATATTTGTATAGTATAGTCGGTTATATACAATATGTTTTTCTATTTTTTATGTATATACAGAAGTGATTTGTATATACGGACGCAACAAGGTTGTACCATCTAAATAAAATCAGCGTATATATTTTTTTACCAACTTTTAACATGAACTTGATCCAGCTTTTTTATGCTTTTTTAACAAGAATATGTTGCTTTTGCTCTGCCATTTTGTGTTGCTGCCTCATCTCATCTCATATCCAGATATATACATATATATTTTGCGTAATTTTTTAATCCTTGGATTTTTGACTATTTTGAGTTTATATAGTTTTCCAAGAAGACGATTTTTTATATATTTTGTCGTATAATCCATGCATGGTTGTTTTTGTATTTGGAAATAAGTCCAGTCTGTTCAGCTAGAGAATATAAATATGATAATTGTGTGTCATTTTAAAAGGAAGTATATTGTTTATTCTGTCATTTTCTCTTGCTGGACAGAGTATACATGCGTTTGGCAAGGTTAGTACAGAGGAAAGGTGTTGATGTGGAAAGCAAAACCACTCACAAATTGTTTGGGACAAAATATAAACTTTTTGTATGTTTTTTTAAATAGATGTTTAGATTGGTGTCATAAATGTAAGACATTTTATGTAGTAGATGTATTAGGCTTTCCATAACATATTTCTGATTGTGAAAACTACCTTATTTGATGTTTTTCACTTGTGGTGGGGATATATAATAGACATTATTTCGGTACCGGGTACACAAGCCACAAGTATTATGGTACCGGGTACACAAGCTCAGAAAAAATAGTATATTGCAAATTTTTGTGTAGCATCTTTAGTATAAACGAGAAACCCCATAAAACACACGAAAATGGTACACCCTGTACTTCGATTTGGATTAAAAATTATCTAAAAGATAACCTGTCGCGGCTCTTGAAGAGCTGTCATATTTGACATTTAAAAAGTAATACAGACAATCGATCTTTTGGCCAGCTAGATGATTTTTTATGGCTTATCGGTCCAAATATATATCTCCATCACAAAATCTATTTATTCTTTCCCATCATCGCAACCGCCATATACAGGGCGAGTCTTAAATAAGTGCAAATATTTTTAGGGCTGGTAGATCTCGATGAAAGAAAATATATTTTCTTTTTACCGTTTTTCAAATAAGTCCAAAATAACTGAGTTATTTTTTCTTTGAAAATCTCAAAAATATGATTTTTGGCTTAAATTTTTAGAACAAATGGATTTTTTCTAGCTTTTCTTTCTTGTAAATTTAATCTACTTTACCTATGTTGCCATGATATCCAGATGTGTGGAGTGGTCAGAATTAAAATTGATTCTTGATTGAGTACTAAAATGTTTCTGAACTAGAAGTTCAAAATACCTAATTGTTATTATTATTTTCTAGTTTTCAGTGCACATAAGATAAAACCGTTTAACTTAAAAGTTTTTTACCGATTTTTTATTTTCTAGTTTTTAGTATTTAACGGAAATGCCTACCGAATATTCCTCATTCTATTTAATTCATTTAGTGCATCATTATTACATGGTTTTTTACCTGATAATTTATTACAATCTGACGCTCAGGTGTTTCTGACGCTAACAACTCTCTCTGTCTGTCGCGTTCTGATGCTAGCCTAGACTCATGACGCTCAGGTGTTTCTGACGCTAACAACTTTCTCGGTCTCTCTCGTTGTGATGCTAGCCTGGACTCATGACGCTCAGGTGTTTCTGCCGCTAACAACTCTCTCTGTCTATCACGTTGTGATGCTAGCCTGGACTCATGACGCTCAGGTGTTTCTGACTGCTACCAGCTGCCTTTGTCGCGTTCACGTTGTGCTATTAACCTGGCATCATGTTGCTCAGGTGTTTCTGTTGCTAACCGTTCTCTTCGTTTCTGTAGTCGACTATAAGTTTCATTTTCACTTTCTTTTGCACGTTTCGTTCTATACTTTTCTTTCGCCTTTTCGAGCCTTCTTTTTCGTTGTGTAGCAGTTTCGTTTTTATTTTTGTTTGTGTTTTTATTTATTGTTTCCATGTTGTTCCCACGAGTAATGGACATTTTAACGGTCGACCCCAGAGGTCCAGTAGAGGGGCAAAGCTATAATATACAACAAGAGGCGCCCAATCTTGAGGGGAAACGCTTGCGACATTACATTTTTAGCCACCCTAATGCCATACAGTCCTCAGCACATTTTAACCTATTACCTTAACTTGGGTGGTAAAGCTACCGCTAACTACGTAGATACATCTAATCACCTATTTTTTTTATCTGTCCTTCTAACGTCACACAATCTTGGACACAACTGTTCTGGACACGACTGCTCATGCCCTCACCTAATACGCCATTTTGTAACGACGTCCATCTTGGATTTTAAATTTTGTCATAATCACAGTATTCTACTAGTGTAGCCCTTTCATTTGATACCCATATTGAGGGGGTTGTGGAAAAATATGAAATCCGCCATTTTGTATCGGCGGCCATCTTAGATTTACAATGTTATTGATATTACTATATTGTATTGTCATCGGAACTAAAGGTGTGTACCAAATTTCAGATCAATCTGACAACAGGAAGGTACTTAAATTTCAATTTCTAATTTTGACCCAAATAAACATACAAATAAATAAATACCGTACGGGTCGAGCTAAATAAAACCGTTTAAAAATATATTAAAGCACCGTGTCAAGTTTTTTTTCTCCAGCTTGTTTTATTTTAATTAAGTAACATTAAAAAACTTTAACTCTCATTTTCTCCATAATTATCTTCTAGGACTTGATCCAGTTCACTTCTGAAACCTGTTTTTAACTAAAAATTAAAAAAAATATCAAAAATTTACCACCCATAAAAATATTTGCACTTATTTAAGACTCACCCTATATATCCATTACTAATCGGCCAGTGGGTGTTTTTTGTTGCCGTCTTTTCTCACTTCTCCGCGTCTTCCCGGTCGTGCAGCCGGTCCCGAAGCCGTTCCAGACTTGTTCGACCCCAGAGGCGTCGGCTACCGGATCCTCAGCGAGTGCGAGCTGGCAACGGCGCAGGAGAACCGCGGCGAGGCCGTCATGGTGTGATCGCAGCCATAGATCAGTCGTCGTAAGAGTAATAATCATGCGCAGTGCAGTGCGATTGAAAAGCAGGGGTGTATAGCGTTTTTTTTGTACGGTTAAAATCGAACGAGAGCTAGCAACGTCTGGAAAACAAGTATTTTAAGAAAGCTGGCTAAACAATTCAATTCAATTAATTTCGATGTGTTTGGTTTTTAAATTCCTATTAGCTACTAGCCTTGTTTATATATTCTTAAAGTTGCCCAACCGACTAGACAAAATGTGCTGCCAACTGGAGGACAAATCGTGAACCTTTCGGGGCGGAGTCAAAAATATCGATTATTTTCGTTATTTTGCTCAGAGTAATGTAATAATATAGCCCAGGGTTTCTGCGAACTTTAATAGTGATCAGCTGATTAAGAAATTTAAACGAAACTTTTATTTTATTGTAAATTGTGGATTATTTTTGCCTGTTATTTTAAGAATTCCAGACCGTATTAACAAAGAAATTATTATTTCGATATGTTGGTACATTATTTATAATTTATGATAATGCTAATTGATGTTAATTAATATTTAAAAAAAAGTTACATACCTATTTTAATTTGATTTAATGCAGGTTTATAAAAGAATCATTTCATTCTTAGATTATTTGATTCTAAATTGAGTGCTTTACGAATTTTATGATATTTTTTTTGAAAACATGAAACTTTTTACATTTTTGATGCCAACTAATTGGCATGGGTATATTGGTATGGAAATTAGCCAAGAAAGAAAAGAATTGGCTATAACTTGTA